TTACACACTTTGAAAGTGACGTCACACTTTAAGTCTGTGATGTGATTGGCCAATACAGCTAATTTCACCTTTGAGCTAATCAGCAAAGTTAGTACTGAATTATGCAACACTTATGATGAGGCAGATTTAAATGACAAATTATGTAGAAATTATTACATATTATATTTATTAGATTTTTAGATGCTATATAATCTCTGATTTTATTGCTGTTAAATAAACAAAATATTAAAGATATTAATCACAGTCTCAATTCTCCCAACCCGAAAATAGTTCGTCTGCTGTCAATCGTACAAATTTGTATCTCAAAGTAAACAAACCTTCAGCTGATTAAACGTTCGAAATCATCATACATATGGGCGACTTAGTCAATACTTTTGATATATACGTGACAGAATTTATGAATGATGAGCAAGAAAGACCAAGTGAAGGTACGTTTACGTTTTTTTTTTGTCAGAACTGATAAACTGAGATCATGATCACTCGGCGTATTGTATGTTCGCATAATGCATTGGGTAAAAATACATCACAATACTGCGAGTACTAAATAAAATGATTCCACAACATGAATTTATTTTTATATTTATAATAACAAATGTAACATTTCTTTTCGTCACATAAAATGCTTCCTTGGGTGAAGCGACAGCAGAGACCACTGACAGCGACGGCGCCGAGGCCGGGCCTTCTCGACCATGTAGATTTGTGCCAGTCACCGATGACAATGTCAGAAGAACAAACGAAACTCAACAAAATAAAAAACAGCCATAAAAACTCTATATGATATGAGATTACTGGGCCAATATTTGAAGACAACAGAAATAAAAGAAGCTAGAGAAATCCACGAAATCCTTCCAAAAGAACTGGAAACAATTCTATGCAAATTCTTTATCAGTGTCCGTTAACCAAGCGGTGATGACTAAGAGCCTACTTCATTAAGATCTATGCTTTCTAGCTTGGAACGTCACCTGAAACGACATAAATACATGTATTCACTGATCATAGTATTGAGTTTAATGAGGTGCGGGAAACAATAAAAGCAAAACAGAAGAAATTAAAGAAAGATGGTAAAGGGCAACCTACCGCGAACAGCTGAGCGGCTACAGATGAAGAAATCTAAATTCTGTGGGAATCGGGACAGTTTGGTCCACAGTCCTGAAGCCGTAATAA